TTCAATTTTCAAATGATTGCCTCTTCCAGTAGCAGGTTTATTTTCTCTAATATCCTGGATTTGGAATGTTGCCGTTTACACTAGTGACCTGAAGTAAGACTTTAGTTCCCTCAAGTCACAACATGTGGTTTCTTTCCCAAGTAGGTTTTATATTTGTTAATGCAGAGTAGTTGGTGCACAGTATTTCTACAGCTAAATATTCCAGGAAGTTGTCTGTATAGATGATGGAAACAAAATGGCATGGTGTTGTGTCAGACTTGATTATAACGGTTCATGCGACATTTGTATTGCTACATACATTGGCAAATGGCAGCTATGCTTTACTGGAAGATTTCCTTTGAAATTACATAGGGAATTTCTGTTTTGAGGCTTTTGTGGGTGGAATGTTAGGATGGCGGTATATAGAGGAATGCTGTAACAGGATTTGATTGTATCTGGGAACAACAAATGAAGTTTATGATGCAGTTAGGAGAAGAATAAATTCAGTCTGACTTACATTTGGTTCCATGGAACGTATATGTATGGATGGATAGATATAGTTACTTTGTTAATACATTCCTTGTTTTTCCACCACATCACACTCCCTAAAGGTTGTATCATGATTCATTGTCTTGTATAATAATGTGGCATATTTTCTTTGATTATTCCCCAAGTATTGCACTGTGTTGCATTTAGTTTTGTATGCTGTGGTAACCACCATAGTCAGTCATACTTCTATGTAATATGGTCTTCATGGGAACTAAATATATTTAGTGAAATGGTACCTTGAATATGCCCTCTTTCCACATACTGGGTACTATGATTAGTTTTCTTAATCTTGCTGATATTTATTGTTATATGCAGTAATTAAAGTGACAATGTACTTTACATGAGAGAAACCAGTATGTTATGATGTTTATAAATGTAATTTCCGTTCAATGGTATGTATAAATTGTGTGTCCAAATTAGCCTTGAGTATTACATGCAAATCTCTGTGGCATCACGTATTCCAGAATTACTTTCATATAATCCAACTTGTTTCAAATGAAGTTCTTACAAAAGAAACCCAACTTTGTAAGTCTTTAATCAGTTCACTCCTTTACTTGGAAGTTTGTGCAAAGAAGAATAGAATGCTCAAATATTTTAGCCCACACATGAGCTGAAATCAGTGTTGTTATTATTAGCAGTCATAATGTTTGTTCCTATTATCTATGTTTTGCTGTAACTGGAATCAAACCTGAGCAATTTACTTTGTTCTAGTCCGCTTTTGGTTTGTGTTCTAGTGAACTTGTTACAGATAGGGTATGAAGTACTAGAAATCGTTGTGTAACGGAAAGTACTTTTGAGACATAGATAATAGAAACAGTTGAATTCATGTTGTTTTCATCTATCAGTTTTTAAATTTGTTGTTACCTTTTATTGTTTTGTAGTATCTGAATGTTTCTGTGGAAGGCCGAACAAATAATTCATGTGCAATCTAATTATAGTGTGTTTTGTAGTACTGAGCAGTTCTCAATGCAACCATTGTCTGTATATTTGCTGCAGGATTATTACATGTAATGGCAGCAGCATGTGTGGTGATTTGATTATATTTTTGTGAATAAGGTGATTTTCCCTGGAGACTAATGTTCCACTAAGTTGATACTAATATCCTGTTTAGCCTGAGTAATGTGTGGTGTTTTGCCAGTTAACAGAATATTGTCCATTTAAATAATGTAATTTATGATGGGTGTGTGGCCATGTGTCCACAGATCTTATTCTGGAATGCCATACATTCTGTGTGGCAGTATGTTTTCACATGAAAGCCAGCAGTAACTAGTAGTTACATTTGTTACTGAAGGTGGCATTGAAGGTGAGTGATACCTATAAATTGCAAAGGAGTTTAGAAAGAAATTGGTTGTGATGTATTGAGATGAGGTGAATATGTTTTGGTAGTTAGGTATCAGCGTATGTAAGGATAACTTTATTTGTTCATTCATATAGTATGTGTGCATGTGTGTCAGTTGATCTAACAAAGAATGTCCCATCACCCCAAGAAACAAAACAGACTTTTTTATATATTATTATTACAGTAATAATATGAACAATAATGTTGTAGTTAATTTATATACAAGTAACACAAAATGAAAAATCTCTCCATTTTTTTGTGTGTGTTTCAATTTGTAAATGTAATATAAAAAATGTTTAACAAGTTTACAAGTTGGTGAAATCTCATATTTAGATTGTAGATGTCATCCACATAATGTGTTCCACTACCTGTGCTCTATGTGAGAATTCACAATCCATCCATTCCTTCCCAAATATAAGGAACATGATTCCATTACATATAACATCCTATTTTTATTTAATAAGTTATACCAACACAGATTTTTATGTGCACTTTGTACGAAGTGCATAAAATTGAAATTAATGAGGAGTCATGTCCAATAGTCTGTCTGTCCACCCCCCTTCTGCATGTTCCATCTCTGGAGCTGTTGAATGGTTTTTGTTAAAATATGATATGGGGTCTGTACAAAATACAGTTTTGGTTAAAAACAATTTTCACATGGTTATGTTCTTGGTATTGTACTCTTCCATTCTTGTCCTTAACAAGATGTGTATTGGTCTCTGTTACTTAACATTCTGGGCATCTTGATGTCCACATCTATTCTTCCAAACAGTTGTACTCATTTCCATGTGTTGATATTTGCTCAGATGATTAAATTTCATGCATTTTATGAAATAGAAAGTCTCCAAATTTTCACAGTAGTCTCCATTGGACACTGTCTTGAGCCAGTTGAATCGAGTCCACACCCTCATGTCCTCTTTCTTTAAAATTCCTTTTAATATTGTGTGCCTATGCATGCATAGGTTTTCCACATAGTCTCTTCTCTTTTAGTTTTGTGACTAAACTTTTGTAAGTTTCACCCTAATAATATTTGCTGAAGAGTACAAATTATAGAGCTCCTTTCTCCATCCTAATTTGTTATTTTTACTTCCAGATATTCTCAGCACATTATTTTCAAACACCCTTAGTCTCATTCATTCTTCCCTTATTGTTAAAGGCCATGAATATAAAATGGCAAGTACAATTATAGTTTTGTCTATTTTAACATTCAGGTTTTTGATAGGAGTTAGGAAGATGAAGATTTTGAATTGAATGCTAGATATTTAGTACATTTAATTTGTTTGTACCTTCTTTGTGAATGTACTTTTCATTATTACTGCCATTCCCAAATAATAATTTAGCTTCACAACTTTTAACAGGATTTATTAGTTATTTGTATATTGTGATTTTGTACTCCATGCTGGTGATGAGACATCAATGTATATAGTTTCTCCTGCGTATTCTTTTAGACCTTAAACAGCAATGGATGGAGTTCCTGTCTTTTACTTCATGTTATTTGTGTTTTCACCCAGTGAATTAACATCAACATCATAGATCAAAAGCTGGTGTGTTGCATTTGATTCCAGCATGTCCTAATTTTCTTGGGCCTTCCTAATGGCATATTCTAAAGAAAATCTGAAATGCAGTGGTGATAAAGCATCTTGTTTGAGGCCATTCTGAACATGAAATGTATCAGACAGATGTTTACTTATATCCTCTACTATAGGTTTTGTTTAAACATATTTTAATTATGCTGTTTTCAGTGATAATATTGAACAATACTTCTCTCATAGTTGAATCACAAACTGTCTTGAAGTCTAGAAATAGGTGATGTTCTGTTCCATTGTACTCCCATTTTTCTGTAGTATGTGATGAATACAGAGTACTTGATCAGTAATTGATCTGTTACATAGAAAAACACATTGATAATTTCCAATAATTGTTTCTACGTATAGAGTTAATGTTGAGAGAAAAACGCTGGATAACATCTTATATGTAGTTGATAATGGTGATATTCCTCAATAATTGGCAGTTTTATTACACTTTTTCCTTATTCCAATTGGAATTAATAATTTTGTGGCTCTCAGGACTGCAAATACAGTGCATTCAAAAAGCCATTGTGCAGTTGCAGTTAAGTAGTAATGTATGATCTGGCAACATTGGCACTGACAGATTGTTAACTACATGCTGAATTTTTTAATGCACTGGTACAACAAGGACTAAAAGTCAGGGGACTTTGGTTAGAATGTCCTGAAACCTGGCAATACTAATGGGAATGATTGTTTTTCTTTTTAAAGATTTATATAAATTTTAGGGACCCTTGTACCCAGTGTTGTTAGTATACCAAAACCATAAAGTGCTGATGAAAGGAGTTTCTACAATACGTAGCACACCACGATATATTCCCGCAGACGCTATAAATGTTGTAAGTTCTAATTTGTTTCCTCCCCTTTCTACCACAGCTGTTTGTTTCACTCGTTCAGTGAACAGATATAACAAGATTGATACAATACACAGGACATGACAGTAAAGTCAGATTGCATCTGAATGCTTAGGAGGTCCATTGTAGTATTTAATGATCATTGTCTGTAGAAAAAGAAGTTGTCATCTTAAAGATTACAGAGCTTTGAAACATTTTTCAGCCAAATCAGTATTATGAGACCATATTTAAAAATATATGTCATAAACCTTTTTTCTAATTTAGATTAATATCAAATTTTGTAAGGACTCAACAGTATCATATTCCATGCCTGTATTATGTTATGTACAGGTGTATGAGGACATGGAAAAACAATAAGAGGCATTCATGTATTGTTAAATATTCATAATGGTGGTTTCTTAACTCTAGGACACTCTGCATTGGGAGGACTTGATACCTGACATTGACTTCTTAGGATTACAACTGGCAGAGTCATGTGAAGTCAGAATTGGAGTTATTACTTGCTTGATTAAACAGGAAAATTATACATTTAAAGTGGAACTGAAAATTTGAATCAAAACATTTATTTACAGAATACTGGATTATTATTGTAACAAACTGGAAAATGCACATTGCTTTCTCACTAACTAAACTGTACTTACTGTGAAATTACTTAACTGTAATTTAAAATTTTCTATTAAACATATGTCTGTGCAGATTGTAACAAGATCAGCCTATTAATAAAAAATTTGTATTTTATACTTAATATTACTCCAGTATGGTTAAGTGATTACTTTCATAATACCAAAGCACAGTTTTTATTTACATTCCATAAGCTTTTATTAAGATATATATTTCACTGCACCACAGCCATGTCTTAACACTGCTACACTATGCAAGTATGATTACTGTGTAGTTTATGACATTACTTGAAACAAGTTTTTATTATAAAACATCTGTATCAGCATTCAGTTTATGCTCAGAAGGTTGTCTTGGGTGACCACTTCCTGACATCTGTGAAACTAGAATTGAAAGAATCATCAGCAATAATTGAACAAACATATAAGAACTATAGTGCATACTGAAAATAAAACAGCCTTTTCAAAACAAAATTCATAGAATCATCATCAATACAAAACACACATAACTGGGAGGGAAAAAACAAAAAAAAATCCCAACAACAACAAACAAACAAGATTGAATCCATGAACTTGTTATCCTTCCTTATTCTCATTACATTTCATTCTTTTGTGGTTTGTGCCTCATAATAATTATTCTTACCTTGAAGCCTGTGTCTGAAATGATAAATGTACTCCTCCACTTAAGATAGAGATCCTTGGGTGTTCTCTTCCTATTGAAACAATAAGCCCTGCGAATTGCCTGCAAGTAACAAGTACTGGTAATAGTGCAGTATTTGTAGTATAATAAATTCAGTGCAACACTGAGATAGGTGATTTTATCTAATTTTCTGGTAAATATAACTTCGCTTACAAAAATGAGCAGAGTAAAAGATTTGAGTTTTATTTGAATTTTCTGTTGTACACATAATTAATTGTACATTGATTGCCCTGGCCCTTTATAGGGAGAAGACAGTGTTTAAAAAACACAGTTATATTACTAACAGAGGAGAAAGTTGTAAAACATTGTTAATTAATTGATGTGCTAGCTTCAACATGGAACTCCATGACAGAGTCTTTCTTGAACAGTTTATAATTCATCTAATAAGGCCTGAATGTTACTCACAAAAGCCTGCCACTGGACACTAACCTAAGCCAGTTCAATTACATCTTCACATCTTACATGCCCTGCTCATGTCATCCACCTTATTTAAGTAACTAAAGTTTACAAAAAAAATTTAACAGGAAAACAATTGGTTGGTCCACATGGCATTTAATATTTAGATTTAAGACAGATGCCAAGAAAATTTAAAAAATGAAGTTGAACCTCTTATATGGAAAATGTATTACATTCATCTTGCACCTCACTATAGAGAAAAAGTGAATTAAGTTTATGAGAATTAAGATTATACACATTTTTCATATTGATATAAAATCTTTTCATTGATATGTTGTCTCAAATTGCTGATGTCAGGTAAAATTCCTATTTCATAACAAAATGATGTAGGGTCTATCTTGGGAATGTTGGTAGCTGCTTACTTCTATACCATGGTCTCACATGTGATCTCTTTCTCCAAAGAATGCAAGCCTAAGGCATCTTCTAA